ACATCCCGAGCAGATACCAAAAGGCTCCGTGTCACAAATATTAGTCATCCAACACCCGAAAGTTTGATCGAGTACATATTACGAAGGTTAGCGCGGGAGAAGCAATTGCGAACTTTCGAGGGAAGGGACTATCAAAGCTGCATGCGGAATAAAATAACCAACATGAAGCTTACTAGCTGATGCACCTGCCTAGGTTAGTCAATTTCTACCCGCGCTTGCATCTATAATATACATAAGGTATATTGTGGCAGGCATGGCATGCATATAATCTACATGTATGTACATTGATGCAGCTCAATACATGTATGTGCGTGCTAATGAATTCAACTGCGCCCGACTTGCACGTGGTTAGCATCACATTCCAGTCTTATCTCGCATACTGGCAACCATCACGGATTCGGACAGCTCTAAACGGTAAATAATATGCACATGAGACGCTTATCTGCCTTTGGGGTCCTATACTACGATATAATTCAGCGCACATGATGCCATGAAGGAGGACTTGACTAAACTAGTTACATACCTAATTAACCTGTCAGCCATCAATCTTATACCTGGTTATACCAGGATATACCAGGTATAATTATTTGTATTTGGTGTAAGTTATCTCGTCATTTGCACTCTTATACTACCTACGTAGGTACTTATCGAAACCCTCAGGACTACCTAAAGGTAGGTATGTAGACATATATACCTAACCCAGACAAGATAACCCAGACAAGAAAGACCATTGGATCCTTACAATATCCTCTTCCTATTTTAACATTGGACCTTACCCGAGCCCCGAGCCCAACAGGTCCACAGGTCCACAGGTCAGTGCTGATTTGAGCAACACTTTTTTCGCAGTCTATTTTGACTTGCTCGGTTCACAAATGAAGCTACAGTCGGACATACGTTGAGCGACTTAAAATAGACGCCTAGCAACCAATCGTGGTTTGGCCGCGACCGTATCTGAATCATTTTGATCACATCATTGGGACATGATATGGACATATTGAATCTTCCCTCCTCAACACTTCATCCCTACTAATTCTCGCAACTGCATGACACTTCCGTAATCGTGAGCTATTCCACCGTTCACCCGACCGAAATATTCCCGTCGCGTCAAGGTCAACCCAAGTTGCAGACGGCAAGTTACGAGAGTACCGACAAACAAGCAAACATACAGTCAGGCCTGTCTCGAAAAGCAAAGGCGTCTTACTTGCACTGTCCATTGGTTGGACCGGATTCCCCAGTCAAAAGCCGAAACAGGCTAACAGCTTACTTGAGTTAACTGTGTGTACGGTCTCGGACGTATACTGTGGTTACAGCTCGCTTGATTTTCCCTTGATATTATCGCGTATCCAGGACAAATACTTTCACGCTTGTATACCTTTGCGACCTAGGATTTCATTAGGCAGGCCGGCTTATAGCCTTGCCATCAATTCCTTCTGCTTCTCTTCTCAATACAAATCCAATACATATACCTTGTCTTTACCACCTCGCGGATTCCGAAGCTCTAATCAGCGACCCACCAACCATGAAGATAATACCCAAGGTCGGCCTGAAGCTTCTAAAGAAGCTGTTGCCCAAAAAAGGCAACAATGGCGACCCGGTAGCTTCAGACGCACAAGATAATAGTTCTCCCAAGAATAAGAAGCAGTCGTTACCTGAACCGCCTGAAGAATGTCCCATATGTCACGACCCTGTCGGAATCGCTAATCCCGAGGGTATCGTTGAATCATGGACCAAGCTACACTGCGGTCATAAGTTTGGCACACACTGCATCCAGACTTGGCTACAAGAGTCTGTCAACCGCGACCCGAATACCAATCCGAGTTGCCCCATCTGCCGAAGTACGGCTAAGCATCCATGCGGACACTTGATAAGTCCCCCACCTTTCCCGTCTCTTCATCTGGATTGGCAATCACCTCGAACCCCGCCACCACCTCCGCGACGCCACCAGGTCCGTCGTCGCCTTACCAGACGACCGGGTCATCCACTCCGTCCCCCACCTCAACCTCGTCGCCGGGCCCAGGTGGTTGGCGAATGTAGAACCTGCATCGAAAATGCCGAGTTTGAGGAGCGGCTGCGTAGCAGGATTAGGGAACGTGGACGGCAAGACACAGGTGGGTCGTCGACTAGCGCTGGCGGCCGGTCTGCAGCCGCTATCAAGTCCATCATACCAGGACTAAAGAGATCTACGAACACGGTCCGCACGACCGTCATTCATGTGGGCGTTGACCCTCACGAGGAGAGACATCCACGAAGTGTGTTCTGCGTCTCGCCACATGTCTCATCACGCCGGATGCCTCGACACTCGACGCCACCTCCGGGGTATAATAGACGTCTCAGCATATAAAGGACTACGTCAATGTTAACACCATTACGCGTGTGTTTTACGGATTAGATGGGCCGGAAGGGATAGATTACAGGCTAGATGGATGGATGGACGGAAGGATGGATTTCTTTGCAGTCTCTCGATGTTCTGGCGGATCACAGGATGGATCTGTCTATCCATCTACTTGATAATGGAAGCTATAGCTATAGCGAACAATCTATCATATAGCCGGAGCGAACGGGTCATAAGGAAGCTTAGGAGTTCTTAGGCTAGGTCTACACGGAATTGCGCTCGGTTGGTATTTGATATACGCGATTGCATTATGGATTCGGTTCGGTTAGGCTATAGTAATATTTGCTGGACAGATGATCAGGTGGATATCTACGTGATGTTTACTTGCTGAGTTAGTTGCCCAACCCATTCTGCCATTTTCCCTGCTACATACCGCTTGCATACTATGTACAGTTGAATTTGATGGCGGGGTATTTTTCCACTTTCATTGTTTTTTTCGTTAACGATAACGGCGTAGGCGGGGATGGGAGCTGGGGAGAGGGGCTCGAATTTCCACTTTCCTTGGTCCTTTGGTTCCTGAACGGGGAAAGCTGGATGGGGGCAGCAGGGGGTAGCTAGTAACATACCGCTTACCCCGCACTATAAACAAACATACAGTATGTACAGTACTTCGTACTAGGATCGGCTACGCTAGGATTAGGTAGCTAGCTTTTTAGGCTTATCGATTAAGCTAATTGATGAATTGCTATCATTTTGTTTGGCTCTCATTCGCATTCGGAGCACGAGCCGTAAATACCTAGGTTAATCTATTTCTCATCCGCCATCAACTTTTGTTTGCGCGGTTGTTTGTCGCGTCTCCGTCTTACGTGACAGGTTCCTTACATAGTCGTGCCGAGGACATGGTGGTGTATTGTCTTTTGAAGATACATCCAATATGAGGTTCAGATCGGATCTCAAGAACACGCGCACATTCTCGAGTGAGCTATCTTGGAAGATGTTTGAAATATATGCCTGTTTCTGATTATTATATTAACTAGAATTGGTGGCCGCTCTTTCGTCCCTCGAGAAGATCGCCTGGCTGCGTCTTGACGATGATACCGTTCGCTTCACCGTGATCCCGGATACCGGGTCGCAAGTTTGGGCGTTCGTAAACCCTTCTATTCTAATCTTTGCGAGACCAGAGTTCACCTTTCTGACTATCCTATATTATCCAGCTCGTTTTCCATGGACTTCATCTTCGACAACTATGCCCTCCAATCCGCCGAACCGAATAACACCATCAACCTCGAATTACCCCTGGGGCCTCTCCAGCGCGCTCTCAAGTCCGCTCTAAATGGAGTCTCAGCGTCGATCCGCCTGACCAAAAAAGACGGCATACCCGTACTATCAATGACAATCACCACCACTGCAGCACCGACCAAGGAGCCCCAGGGCGTAGCCCGTCTCGGCGGTATAGGCGCCAACCCCGGCGCCGGGAACCGAGATAACTACGACGACGAAGACGGAGTCTTCGCCCACGAACCCCTCGAAACAAACCTACACCGCGAGCGCGAAAAGATCGTCACGCAGGACATCCCTGTACGAGTCCTGCACCCCGACACCGTAGAAACCATCATGCAGCCCAAAGTCCGCGAACCCGACGTGCACATCCAACTTCCGCCTCTCCTCCAACTCAAAGCGATCTCCGACCGCTTCACCAAACTAGCCCTAGCCTCCCGCGTCTCCACGTCCTCCTCCAACGCAGCACCGTCATCGTCCTACTCCCCCAAACTCGAGCTCAGCGCCAACATGCACGGCGGCCTGCGCCTGCGCCTCGACACCGACACCCTCGACGTCGAGAGCCGGTGGTCCGGGCTCGAGAACCCGGAGCTGGATCCCGCGCAGCTGCCGTGCGCGCTGGAGGACCACCCCAGCACGCGGTTCCGCGAGGCGGGGCCGGACAAGTGGGCGACTGTGCGGGTGGATGGCAAGGACTGGAGTAAAGTGCTGAGCGTGGGGCGGCTCGAGGGTCGGGTTATTGCGTGTTTTGCGGATGATCACGCGCTGATTATGTATGTGTACGTGCCGCAGTATGATGATACGGGGGCGGAGGACTCGGTTGTCACGGTGAGTTTTTTTCTCTTTCTTATTGCCTGTCTGATATTCTTGTTTTTGAGGATCGTGCTGTGCTGTGCTGTGCTGACGCGTTGTAGTACTACGTGTCTTCGTATAGCATGTGAGAGAGAGTTACTCTGCGGATAGGAGTTTAGGAGTATATGTGGTGGCGTCTTGCTTCTTCGAGTGCGATTGGGGCATTTGAGGGATTGGAACGGAATTGTAGATGAATACCCATGATACTGGCTTTGATATTTACGAGTTGCTTTAGGTTTGTGGTTGCTGGATAGACTATAGACTATAGACTATAGATTACTTGTAGAATGAGACGCAAGTTAATGTTAGGTAGGTAGTTATTGACAATATATAAGTAAGATATAAAAGTTAGCTACAGGTAAGCAACTAACCTAGGTTAAAGTGTTTTAATATCTATAAGCTTTAAGTTACATTATATAAGAACCCGAGATATGTCTAGTAGTATAGTCTAGTAGTATACATGCTGATTTGATTCACTCAGTAGACAAACTCTCTTAACAACTCGAGTTGGAATTTACACGTAACATGAGATTTACATGTTGGAGTCTGGAGTTCACACGCTACATTATATACTTTAACTACGCTTTTGATAATCATCCGTTTATAAACCCAGGCGTATCTTGTATACGTTCTGTATCCTATTTGGACCAAGTAACCCATCGTATAACCCCCATATATTACATACAATCCCCTCGTAGGCAATGCTGTAACTACCTACAGCATTCTCTAAACCCAGCCTGCTCTCAGCTCACAGCAATCCCTCCTTCCTCCCTTTCCCTCTAATCTCATACCTATAACTTAAGAACAAGCCAGTTCTGCCCCAACCTCCCCGTCTTACCGCCCCCGTCCTGCATCACCTGCCCCAGCACCCCACGCACCGGGCCCTGCCTCTCAGTCCCCCCAAACCAGCGTTTGGGCCCTGCATACGCCGCCACAAAGCCATCCGGTCCAGACACGCAGATCAGATCCGCGCCTGTCCCAGCCTGCGCAGGTGCAGGGGACGGGTTGTCCCGCAGACAGGCACACGGCGAAGCCCGTCGTCCCGCGTCGTTGTCGTCGGGAAGTGCTACGAGCTGGGCTGGGGAGTGCCATGTACACGAGGGAGAGGCAGGGAGCACAGGGGTTGATGATGACGACGACGACGACGACGACGACGACAAGTCTGTTAGGACAAGGTGGAGATCTTGTTCTTCGATGAAATGTCTTTCCTCGTCGACGAAGTACGAGATGCGGAAGTGGCCGGGGTGTTTGAGCTGTAGCTCGCGGATCTGGTGTGCGAGGGTTGGTTCTGCGGTTGTTTGAAAGGTGTGCTGATCAGTTGTAGGAGACGGTGCTGGGGTTTGGGTTGTGCTGTGCCAGAACCAGGTTGATGGTGATCGTACGCTGCTGGTACTAGAGCCTTGAGGGTGCCGTTGCTGCTGTCGTCCCAGCGCGTCGGCAGCGTATCGATTCGCCCATAGGATCGAGACGGTAGGCTTCTCCCCCTTTTTCTGTCCACTTATATCAGCGCCTGAGCCGTGATCCTCTAACACCCGCCGCGCAACCTGCAACGCGGGGGCTATCCCCGTGCCCCCGGCGAGAAACACGATGTGTCTGCCAGCATCGCCCAGCCGCCGCGCGACATCGAACCCGAGGTGCGGGCCCCGCAGCCATATCTTCTCGCCTACATGTAGCTTCGACAGGTACGTCGACATCTCGCCGCCGTCGACCTTGCGGATCAGAAACCTTAGCTCCTCCCCTTCTCCATCGCCATCTCCACTACCAACAGCCTCCTCCCTCTCCTCCTCCAGAGGAGGCAAAGGCGTATAACGCCGCGCAATCTGCAACTGCGGCTGCTTGATCTCCACGGACCAGAGCCCATGGTCCCAAGACCGCCGTAGCAGCAGCAACGAGGCGCCCTCTCCATCCCGCCCTGGTTTCTGCCGCTCGGCGCGAACGCTGAGCACGAAAGCCGTAGGCGAGACCTGCTCTTTGGCGGTGATGGTGAAGGGGCTGAAAGACGTGGTGTTTAGAGGGGCGTTTTTAGCGCCGTCTTGGGAGTTTATGCTCTTGAGCACGACTGCGACGACGAATACGCCGCTGAGGCCGGCTAGGTTGAAGAGGACCCATGTGCGCCATGATGGGCGCTGTTTTGGGGGTTGTTGTTGTTGTTGTTGTTGCGCTGTTTGCGGCTCGCCTGTTGGTGGTACCTGAGTTTCGTTGCTCTGGCCTGGTGGAAGACTTGAGAAGCGGCGGCCGTATGGAAAATAAGGGGTCTTGCTTAACGGCCAGCCCCTCGGTGAAGCTTGTTGTAGAGGTCTAAGACGGAATGCCTGAGACCCCGGGAGCAGGCGCGGTATTGTCCGGCCGGCGCATCTTATTGTTAATGAAGGACTCATTTATTCTAATTCATACTGAACCTCTAGAATGTCGATTTGGTAAGAGCACTCTCACAGCCCGTGTTGTGAATACTATATAAGTTGTTTGGGTGAGCTGGGTTTGTGTAAGTGAGAAGTTCAAGCTATCAAAATTATTTATATGATGCCAGCTGGAATAGCCTGTCATATTAAATACTGCCAGTTGTACCGAATTGGTGGCACCTGGTTACCTATCATCTAACTAACCTACATATGTACCTAGGGATCTGAAATAATATCACTCAATACTTAATACTTTTATTTTTAACCCAGCAGTATACGCCTCTTATAGTTTATCTTGCATTGAGACGCTGAGTTCTGTGCTCTATGTTTATGAGTTGAGGTTTAACGACGTATGGTACAGTACAAGACCGCAAGTCTCTCAAACGAAGCGACATCCCGTCACTTCCAAATACTCTATAATCTAATAAGCTCGCTATTCTGGTTAATTCCGCCTCTAAAATGGTCCGTGATAATATTGCCATTTATAATGGTCTCCTTGATCACGCCTTCTACGTGCTTTGGATCTATCCTGCCGTACCAGATTCCGTGGCCGGCCAGCGGGTGTGGATTACCAGCGCTGTTTGTGAGAGTTGGCGGCAGATAAATGATGACATTTCCGGCAAATTTATGCCCTCCGATGTGACTGATCTGGCCTACCCTCGCTGTGCGTGGCGTTTCTGTCCCGGTCGTACTGCCGGGGAGCGGCGGTGCTGATACACTCTCGTCTATCGCCGGTCCGTGAAGGACATCTATTCCTACTCGGGGCAACTGTCTTTCGAATTCTTCTTGCAGAATGGGCCCGTAGATGCCACATCTTGTATCTCGTTGTCCATGCCCACAGATCAACACAAGCACGTCCTCAACATCGCGAACCCCGTATAGCAACTGCTGATATGCTTCTTTCCGCAGAAGCCGGTCTTTATGTATAGGCGATAGCCCCTCATTCATCGGATGGAGCTTCTCCGGTAGTAGATATCCCCTCACTAGGGCTTGTACCGAATCGAACGATACCCTCGGGAGGAATGGGATGTATTTGAAGCTGGGGACGAGGTAGACGGATGTGGTTTGCACCTCGGGCCGCGTCGAAATGGCGGAGGGGAACGAGGTGTTTACGACGGAGATATTATGGAAAGGCTATGGATTCTCTTGCGTTAGTTAAAATGACTATTGATACACTCCGTAACATCCAGAGTAGTTGGGAACCGTCCTCTAGGAGCTAAGCAGCATAACTCACATCACTGTACGTGCCTCCCCGGCCGATCAACTCCTTGAGATCAGCAGCCAAGTTGTCGCCGCTGTTATCCTCTTCTATGCGCGACGACCAGTCGTCTTTACCAGTACATATTAAGACCTGTTGCGCATACGACGCTATGAGGCCGTTCAGCTTGCCATCCTTGTCGATACCCTGTCCCAACGGCATCGGCGGCGTGTCAGCACAGCCGCACGTCGGTTCTGGGCATTTCGGGACGGTATTCAAACGTCGTCGAGCTGTCGTCGCAAGTGAAATTGGATGACTTATTCGGGACGGGACGGCGCGCTTCCACCAAGTCGCTCTAGCTAACGGTCGCAAAGACATAACGATTGTAAGACAGGTTCGCAACCCCCGCTCGATAACAAGTATGTCTAGTCAGAGCCATGTCAACAGCGTGCAGGATTCTCGGCTTCGCGCTTTTTCTAATCTGTGTGCGTGCGGTTCGTTCATTACGTCGGTGCCGGCTGTACTGTGTTAGGTACGTAGCTCCGAGGAGTCGGAGTTCCGAATTGGCGGGCCGAGAAATTGGAGCAGTAGGTAGCGCCGCGTTTATTGGTAATCGCATCCTCGGTGCTAATTCTTCGGATTTAATTGGCTGAGATGGCTTATGGTGTATTTCTTACGCACATGTATATTCGCATCGAAAAAGGGGTCCCCTAAATGGAAGAAAGTACCGCATTCAATTCCTATGGTACCAAGCTGCGATTTCAATTCGAATAGAAATAAACTTCTTCTTTTCCTATAACTAGGTAGGTACCTAAACTACTCGCTATCATTCTTCTCTTGCCCTTTAATACATATGTATCCTATAATTCCAACTAACAGGAGAATGAGGCCAATAATATACAGTATTTATTCCCATTCTAACTGTTTTATCTCGAAGGGTATGAGAGCCCCTGTGACCTTGACATCTTTTTCCGGGTTATATTTCTCGAGGCTATCCAAAGGACCGTATTTCTCGCAAAGATATAGCATATCGTTATAAGCTCTGTAAAGTATTATTTACCGAATCTTAAGCTCAGGGGGCAATACCAACATGTTCCTTGAAGCACTTCCTGGGTGCCCGGCCGAATCATTCAGATATGGATGGATGCTGTAGAGGCGATTACGGTCGTCCCATTCTTCTGTTGGCTCTGAGGGCTCAATGTGGCGCTGATACATGCGCATATAAGTAGGGGAGTTGAAGTAGTATGCCCATGTACACCGCCAGGTTCCAAACTCCATTTCGTTATGGGCATATGTGCATCCGGGGTCGAATAAGACTGTCTCGTCTGTCTCCATATCGGTTCCGACATTCCGTTCCCATAGGTCGCCGTGTATTAAGGCCGGTGTAATCTCGCGGCCATCGGATTGTAGAGCTCCTAAGAGTCTAGGAATGACTACATCGATAAGCTGTTTACAAGCAGCGTCATATTCTGGCCAAGGGCCATTCGTGTCGTTGTCGTATTTGATGACGTCTTTGAGCTGATGCGTAAAAGACTTCGCCCAGCTTTTCTCCCACTGCGTTAAGGGCAGTTAGTAGTGAGATAATTTTTATAAGTCACTCAATATAGTCATATATTCTAAGCGACAACCTAGGATAATTAGGTTTCACTGTGTTTGAATGGAACATACTCTGTGTCTTACAATGTAATGGGGCGAACTGGGAGGTCAAGGAGTGCTTACGGTTACAGTACGTTCCATTTTGCCGCATACGGTCGGAACAGGATATCCAAACATCCCATTTGGAGATGTACCTCGCTGGTGAAGCTCTGCTATTTTAGACATGAAGAGTCCGGGCTCTGGGGCTGTGGTGAATTCCATATCATGGAAGTCTCCTAGAAAAAAGTAGACAGTTGATCCGCCGTCTTGGTATTCACCCCATCCAATTGCTTTTGGTACGAGTCCAGTTATGACATCGTTTATAGCGTTCGCAGAGTGAAATTCTCCCTCTACTAATGGACGGGCGCCTTGACCCATAGCGCGCTTAATTGTATCGTTTTGTAAGAAGCTGATCCTCATGAGGTGACATGCTATTTACCTTCAAGAAGTATCTCTTTGGGCTCCCATCTGGAAGTATAACCGATACCTTTGCTGTTCTCGTCCAGGCTGATATACCACTCGACTCGGCAGATATAATCTTAGTACCACTGGGCATAACTATGAATGAGGAATTCCATATCAGAAAAGCCCATTGCATCATTTTCACGGACTTGCTTACCTTCCAAGACAGCCTTGTTTATGGGGAAATTCCCCTCGATTTCTGACACCCATTCGGATGAGTTAGAGGCCATTTTCGGTGCTAGAGAACGCAGAGAGACTCGATTTAGGTAGAAAAGACACTTGGGGAAATTATAACGTACTGAACATGAAGCGAGGCTCGAGGCTTTTCACGATATACCATGTAAGCGAGCCTCAGCCCACAATCTCGGCGAGGCCAGCTGAAATACATCTCGGCGCTTAAACAATAAGGCCTGGACGAATCCTAGCTGTATCATAGAACCAACCTACATATGCACAGGACCGCGGGTTGCACGCGATAAAGCCGCACTGAATCATGTTTCGAGCGCTATTGACTGAGCTGGGGGTGCTTATCAAGATTATCCGCTCATTGATTCGCTTAATACAGGCTGTGCCTCTTCAACAACCCCTGTTGTTGGTGCAGCTGAGGTGGTCGTCTCATACGTATGAGGGTGGGGGGCGCAGACGATCTATCACATTTGGCGAATGTGAAGGAACCATTTGAATAAATGATCCAGTACCATATTTCCCTTCACCTTCTACGCCTTTGTATGCATAGCCTATGCTCATGGGAAATGGACATCTAGGGTCAATACGACTTGCATGATTAAATAATATGCCCAGACAAGATGGTCAGTTGCCATGTTCATTCTTCGGGACTCGGAAAATAATGTTTTATTAGTTTCGAAGACTGTCCCATTTCAGAAGGAAAGACCGCGATGAAAATCGCGTACCACGGTTTCATCGGACTGCATCTGAGCCCCAACGTTCTAACTCAAGACCATCCGCCACCTCGGAGCCGATTCATGAAAATCACGAAAACCATGTCGATCCTGGAACAGTCCTTCACTCCCTGGGGCACGTAGGAATTGCTAACAGCGATACCGCCTCCCGAAGGCACAGTGAGACCGATGCCGGGCCACTTGGTCTTACCGTGGTATATACCCCCGAAAATGCTCACAAGGCGGACATCGTGTTTATACATGGACTTGGAGGAACTAGTCGGTGGACGTGGTCAAAAAATAGAGATCCGGATTTGTTCTGGCCACTTACCTTCCTACCTCTTGAGCCTGACGTCTGTCTAGCTAGAATACTAACTTTTGGTTACAATGCCAATTTCCGCAAGTCTGGGAATATTGGTACTTCGGTGCTGGACTTTGCTAAAGATCTACTGTTCGATTTAAAGTACGCAAAGGATGACCATGGGGAAGACTTGAATATGGGAAGCGTGAGTATAACACAGATGATACCTACACCTTGAGGCATGCCTAATCTTGACACTAGGTGCCATTGATATTTGTTGTTCATAGCATGGGAGGACTCATAGTTAAAGAGGTGCGCATGCTTTTCAACGCAATTATCATTATACTTACAAGAAGAAGGCATACATGCAAGGCCAGAATGATCCCGAGTATGAATCCATTATCAAGGCCATTTCCGCAATCACCTTCCTCGCCACACCGCACCGTGGAACGCATCTTGCTGAAACATTGAACCGCATTTTACAAACAGCCATGATCACGAATTCGAAGCAGTACATATCTGACCTTGCGAAGAATTCTTTCACCTTGCAAAAGCTTAATGAGCAATTCCGACACATCGCGCCTCGCCTGGACATTGTTTCGTTCTATGAAACTCAACCCACTTCGATCACTTCGAAAAGCCCCCGAATCGTACGTAGACTTTACACTAGGTACCTGATACATAACTTCCTGTTAACATCCTTTAGATGGTATTGGAAAAGGACTCCTCTGTACTTGGATACCCCGGAGAGACCTCTAAAGCGTTAGATGCAGACCACCACGGGGTATGCAAGTACGAGAGCCCCAGAGATCCTAACTACATCACCGTGAGAAACGTACTCAAATCGCTCCTCAGCAAAATCATATCAACAAATAATTCGAGGAAACCGGGCCCATCAAATCGAAGAGAATCGCATGATCTGAGATCTTTCTTGGCAATTACAGAGATACCGGCTATAGACTACAGCTTTTTCAGAGACCAGTGGGCGCGAGGTACTTGCGAATGGATCCTTCAAGATGTAAGTTTTGTCGAATGGCTTCAGGCGTCTGAATCAACGTCATCCCTCTTATGGTTGAGCGGCGGGGCCGCAACTGGGAAGTCGGTGCTGTCTTCGTTTATTATCAACCACCTGGCAGAGCGAGACGCCTGCTGTCAATATTACTTCATAAGATTTGGCGACCAGAAGAAACGCACACTAAGTTCGCTGCTGCGCTCACTCGCTTATCAAATAGCCTTAACCATCCCAGGCTTTTTACAGAGGCTTCTTGAGCTTACCGACGAAGCCGTTGATTACGAAACCGCAGATCCAAGGACGATCTGGGAACGTATCTTTAAAGCCATACTCTTCAATATGGAAGAAAGGAAGCCCCTGTACTGGGTTATAGATGGTCTGGACGAGGCGCACGATCCTCGTGCAATCATCAAACTCTTATCAGACGTCGTTCATTCTTCAATTCCGCTTCGCATCGTACTCATAGGTCGTAGAAGCTCGGAGATCGAGTCTGCTTTCCAGAAAGTATCAAACTCTTTGAAATCAAGAACAATTAATATTGAAGGTCATCTAGAAGATCTACGATGCTATGTGCGCCAGGAACTTAGCATGTCCGGCGGTTCCGAGTTCAAAGAAAATGTCATACAAAGAATTGTAGAGGGGTCTCAGAATAATTTCCTTGTAAGCTGCGTCCTTTCTGGTATAAGACCTCTTTCCCGTATCTGGGCTAATTGTGTAGTGGGTGCGACTTGCTGTTAGCAAACTGAATTTATGTCATAGACTTGCAGACGTTGAAATCGCACTCCAGGAATTACCGGTCGGTATGGAAGCACTTTATGATCGTATGGCATCGGCGATTGCCCAAAGTCCATCTCCTACGGATAGAGCCTTGGCATCAAGTATTCTACAATGCGTTGCTTGTTCATTTCGTGGGTTGACGGTCACAGAGCTATCGCAGGCATTGGATGAAGATGTATCTGAGCTCCTGGACTTTGAAAGGTCAATTGTAGACCTGTGCGGTGGGTTCGTGGCCGTTGATAACGGCGGAAACGTTACGATGATACATCAAACTGCACGCGAATATTTGCTTGGAAACAGCGGCCATCCTTTCAGCATTGATCGTCAAGAGGCTCACGAGCATATGCTTAAAAGCTGTATGAAGTGTCTCATGACCATCGGTCTCCGAGCAAAGGTGAACCGAAACCAGAAGCCCGAGTTTATTGACTATGCTTCAACCTATTGGTCATCACACTTATTGTCAACGTCTCTCGAGTCTGAACAGGTCGGCGAGGTTCTTAAGAAGTTCTTGACTAGCCACTGGATTCTGACATGGATACACATCCTTGCTTCAAGCAATCAACAACGAATACTTATTCAAGCCTCGAGAAATCTTTCAAAATATTGTCTTAGGCAACGGCGACACAATACATTACAAAGAGACAAAGGGCACCACATCGTGGAACAAGAGCTTCTTGAAAGTTGGTCGATAGACTTTGTGAAATTAGTAGGGAAGTTTGGTATTCACCTGCGACAAGATCCAGAGTCGATATACAAGCTTATCCCGCCTTTCTGTCCTCGGAACTCTTCGATCTACCAATTATTCGGGAAGTTAGAGGCAAAGAACATTGCCATATCAGGCATCTCTACTAAAAACTGGGATGATTCTCTTGCGCGCATATCACCAGGCTCTGGCAGCTATACATCATCTATCGCGGCCTCTGGGCACCTTGTGTGTATACTTGCTTCTCCAGGAAGCGTATTCATGTACGATTCCTTGACTTTTGAAGAAGCAGCGGCCTCCCCTATTAAGCATGGCGAACGTGTTTATCGAATGGAACTCAACAGTACTGCTAGCCTTCTAGTCACTTACGGCTATAGGACGATTAAAGTATGGGAGACATCGAGTGGAAAATGTAGGATTTCAGTTAACAACATCGATTCACGGCCTCGGCCACTTTCCATGCGCTTCATAAAAAACAACACCAGACTTCTTATTGGCAGTGAAGACAGGCGAGTACGATCCCTTGATTTGAGTCAAAGATCTCCGGACCTAGAGCTTGTGGTAGAGCTAGAAGAACCAGAGCTCGAGGGTCACTTTTTAAACTCATCGAATTATATGGCTTTAAATAGGGATGGGACTCTAATCGCTGTCGCTTATCGAGGCCATCCACTTTCCGCATGGGAGGTTGATGGACCTGTTCATATAGGGCATTGTTGGCGAGCTCGAGAAGAGGCTGCGAGGGGTGAAGTCATTGATGCTGTCTGGCACCCACATGCCCCTGAAATTTTGGGTCTTTATATCGAAGGGGTAATTTTCAAATGGCGCCCTTATGATGGCGCGGTTGTTGAGGTGCCAACAGGGGCAGCCAGATTGGCAATTAGCGGGGATGGTAACCTCCTTGCAACGGGTGACGTACATGGAACTGTGAAGGTTCATACTACATCCGACCTTGGTTTACTCTACCAGTTGGCATCTCAAGACACTGTTCTCGGCATAGCGTTCAGTCCCGACCACCGGCGCTTCTACGATATTAGAGGGTACTACGGAAATGCATGGGAGCCGAATGCATTGATGAAGTTTTCGGAACAGACAGAAAGTGGCGTTGATAGCGGAAGCGAAACTGAAAGCCTTAACCATAGCATCTCAACCTACTCTAGCTCTCCTAAGAGGGTTGACTCTATTACAGTATTGGCAGCAGCACCAACCGGACGTTTATACAGCTACGGCACGGAGACTGGAATGGTGCATTTAGTCGACTTGCATAAGGATAAGGTTATTGATGTTCACACAAAAAAGGGGTTTCTGAGCATTGAGCAAATGAGCTGGAGCCAGGATGGGCGTTATATGTGTTTCTCCGACTCTAGTAAAAAGATTTATATAAAGTCAATTACTCCGGGTACAGGGACTTCGGAACCAGTTATAGAGACCAAGCCAGAGATTCCGATGAAGACCGTAGCGAAAGGTCCGATAACACAATTCCTTTTTCAACCAAATTCAGACAGTCTCTTGGTATTCACGCCTAAGTCAGCTCACGCAATCTCGATCGAAACACTAGAAGTAACCCAATCGGTGGAATTGGATACGCCTGGATGTAGCTGGATTGCACATCCTGAAAACCCGGAGCTAGTCGTCGGGTTTGGGGGCAGGCGAATACAGATTATGACCTGGGATCTACTTCAAGTTCGGGCTTATGCCACCAACTTAGAAGAACATTCCGACCATGCTATTGTGAACAGGGTCCTCATAACTCAGGATAAAAAGCACTTGCTAGTTCAAACATCCTCTCAAAGCCATAACTCAAAGGAGAAGGCGTTACATTATTTCAAAACCTCCGACTTAGGGGTACTATCAGGACCATCACCAATTACTCCGAAGACATTCCCCCAAGATTTATCTTCCGAAATTGCTCTTCCGCTCACGTTCCGGGCGCAAGACCGTCTCATATTTCTTTCTAGAAACTTTTTGGTTTGCTCCTGGAAGCTTTCTTCTGATTTAAATACACATATGCCGACACCTGGCAGCATTACGACTCCCGCAGAACTGCCAGGAACCCTTAATCGCCACCAACCTAATAATTCTATTACGAAGCAATTTAAAGGAATTTTCGTGCTACCAGGAGATTGGATTAATAGGGACTGCCTGTCCTTGTGTACCATCTGGGGTGCAGAGAGATCTTTCCTATGTCCAAGGAATGGGGAGGTCGCGGTTGTTAAGTGCCGGGACTTGGTTTAACCTATCTCCCTGCATAGCCCTCCCTAGTCAACGACCCATTGTGTCGATATTAATCCTTCGACGAATTTTGCATATTATGTTGAATCGGAGATTATTCTTTCTTGTCGCCACCTCGTTCCTTTCTGATAATCAACAAGGAAGAGGCCTAGAACAACCAAACACAGACCACCCATGAATGTGAACGTCCAACCAATGCCTAGAGCATCAATCAGGTTCTGGAGGAATGACACCGTAATAGCAGCCAGGGTACAGCGCACTATATTACTGGAAGCCTGTGCAGCCGCTGGGGTTCTATGATTCTTGTCTACCAGCAGGGTATTATAGATCTTGAAGTCGCTTAGTTTAGTCTGAGGAGGAGTGTATATACAGAGGGAAGAACTCACACTAAAATCGAGCTGCATACATAAACCAGCGATGAATTGAAGGATAAGAGGAATTGAAATATGCTGCTTTAGGTTAGTTTAAGCAACTAGATATGAGGGAGCGCGAGCTCACTCGATGATAATGTAATGTCCAACCAAACACTATGATTGAGACAGTTGTGATGATCAGGGGTACCCATATGACACTAAGGCGCGCCTTTTCAATTGGGAAATTATCCAAGTCATCTCCGACAGCTTTGTCCGTTGATAGGTCGCGTTTTGTTCTAGCTCTTCGGTATGCTCTGTCGAGCAGAGGTCCCGAGAAGAAAGTAGATACCATTCCGCCTACACCGAAAGGAAGATATATAATACCAGCTTGCCACTGGTTGAGATTGTAAATGTCTATGAATAGAACGGAGAGCGACGCATTAATACAAGTATACACGACATACAGTAAACCGCAGCCGAAAATAATTATAGCATTATCCCTGCGAGTAAGTATCAATAGAGACTTTAAGGGGTTAGGAACCCGCCATTTATGCTCCGTGCTCTGGTCAATATCCGTCCAGTGGCGCATCAGTGTCGAGATCGGTAGTCTTAGGTGCTTAGGTGGTCTGATTGACCCATTTCCAACAATACTTCGGGAGGTTTCAGGGAGGAATAGAGTTATGGTGATCAAACATAGTCCCGCGGCGATGGAGAGGAACCAGAAGATCCAAGTCCAACCAGCAGCGTAGCTCAGTGCTCCTCCCAATATGGGCCCAAGACTTGGTGCAATTGTTATGCTTGTAGGCGTACTGTTATCAGTAAAGAGAACATAGAATGGGATTCTGAGGCCTTAGGTACACACGCGAAAGATACCGCACTCACGAAGGAACCCCTTTCGGCGGGAGACGCGACGTCAGTGATTACACCGTAAGCAACCGAAAACGTTCCTAAAAACGATCGGCATTAGCACTGATGACTCCAAGATTAGATAGGCCATGTCCATGCCAGAGATTGCCAAAGCCTGCAAGACACGTAGACCGAGCAGTGCATTATACGACTTCGATAAGGCAATAGCAATGTTTGCTACTACGTAGAGACTCAGCGTAATCATGTACACGGGCCTCCGACCAAGAACATCTGCAGCATCTCCAACGAGCGTCGGCGCTATCGTTGCTACCGCCATGTACGAAGTGATAGTTAAGTTGATCTTGTCAACCGAGACGGATAGGTCCTCAGATAGGAGGTGCACAGCCGGGAAGTATATGAAGCTGCTTAAAGTCGAGAACCAGGCGGCATAGGAGACCATCGAGACGATACACCATTTCTTGGCTATGGTGAACACGGAGTACCTATCCATGGTTTCTGTGGCTTTTGGCGCATCCATAATATCTCTCGTTACTGGATTTCGTTAAAGTGTTACTTAAGACGAAGTCTATTCAAGCAGCAACAGACTCTCGCTATTGGTTATTTGCAAACCCAGTTAATATTTATATACAACCCCGCATGATCACCATTGGCCAATATGCGGCGAATTCGCCTCATGCATGATAGGTCTTATCTATCGTGAGCCACGTAGCCCTGCCTCAGGAGTTTAAGTGTCATTGGACCAACCAGCAGCTTCACACATTATGTAGATGTAGATGATTCCGACTATAGTTGCAGAGTAAACATTAATATTGCCATAGAATAGCAAGCCACAATTCTCAAATCAGGGGGCGATCCTAGAGCTTTTGGGAGTTTGGATAATTTAAAACATCGGCAGCTAATACCTAATAAATTAGCAGAGACCTCCATATTTTTCGTCTAGACAAGGACTGAAATATCAAAAGAATTTATAGCTACCTAGGTACCTATACTTTCGAAAGCGACATGAACAACTTAATAAATCTAGCATGATACGTTGACGTTCAGCGAAAGCAAGTACATGTAAACTGAAGCTGTTTGCTTGAACACGAGTACCCAGTTGATACTTTCCTATTGGTTTCGAACTTGTTATTGTAAACACCCTATATAAACCTCTAAGGCCTATTGTGTTATGCCATAGCACACCGACATGACAGAAATATTCCATTAGTTCTCAATAGCGTAATCCAGTTCAAGAAATAACCTGTAGTCCCATCTTAATAGCTTAAAGAAACACAATGACTGAAGCTGAAGGGACCTGTAATGCACGATCTTGTTAACACTAGCGACTTTCAAGTATTGATACACTGCTTCTTACGATAAAATATATTCATGCTAGGCAGGCGCCTTCAAAGATTTTTGAACGGAAGGAGTGATTCAATATCGTAGAGGTAGCAACTGCCACCGGTGCGTATTGGATACCTTAGTCGTAGCAACGGACAGCTGTATATACCTGCGGAACAGTGCCCAAGGAACAGTTAGTTCGTTGGGAACTGCCGGCGGTAACTATGGCGGTAACTATTGGCGGTGAGCGAGGCCTTTCCCGTCGCTATTAAAAACATCGCTTGTTTTCGCCCAAGATAATTTTTCTTTCTTCCTTTCTCTCTTCAACTTACAACTAAATTAACAACATAACTAAACCACACCACCAACCGTGTCTCACTGAGCAGCACAACATAATCCTATAACCATACCTAAACTATATAATACTTAACTATTCCAACCCTATCTCATCATCAGCCATGGTGGAGAGCAAGTACTCTTCAAGGTAAGTTTTAGGTCTCTTCTAATTCGAGTTGCAATATCTATACCTTGGTTTAAAAGATCGGAAATCTAACTGCTGCTCTTTAGTACGATATGCGCTGCCTTCTAAGGCCAATAATTATTCTACTATATTCTACTCCTTCCACGATATGAGTGGCATCATGAACCTCATATTCCTTTTTTCGCAAGGAATCTTCCCGACTCAACTCCCAAGACCAACTTCTACTCCCTCATCTACTCTTATACCCTACTCTACTCCTACTTTAACCTAACCTCATCGGACCCTACCATCACTCCTACTCCTATTATATTCCTTCCACGATATGAGTGGCACCATGAACCTCATATTCCTTTTTTCGCAAGGAATCTTCCCAACTCAACTCCCAAGACCAACTTCTATCCCCTTTCTCTTCACCCCCATCACCTCTATATCCCCTACTTTAACCTAACTTCATCAGATGCTACTATCACACCCACTCCTACTTTAACCTGACTTCTTCATCACGACTACTTCTACACACCCGGACAATAACAATGGCGACTATCTATCTCGTCCATGTCCCAGTTTCGACCGACAACAACATTCTCTTCAAGCGGATGTTCTACACAACAGTCTTCTGCCTCTCTACCTTGGCATGGGTGGACTACCGCCGATGGGCACCGTACCCTCTCATTCCAGAGCGTCGCCAAATCGTGGATGAGATCGTTGAGATGGCGCCAACATCTCCTGATTCCCTCGAACTGGTTTGGATGTTATTTGCCTACATGTGGTGTCACTGCAGTAAGTACTATTTTACTTGAACGTTGTTTATCATCTACCTACCTACCCTTGCCACACAACTTACACTGCACTATTCCCACTGGCACTACCTCATTCATACCCTATCCCCTCCCTCATCCACCCCGCCTTCATACCGCGAGCAACACTTAAGACTGTTGCCTGAAATGAATGAGATATTTTCAAACGAGCATATCATATGAATGAACAGCAACCACCTACCCTCGATAAGCCAGCCAAGCACTAACTCCATCTACCACAGAATTCATCAGCCTCCCCCCTTTATGAAAACCCACACTTTCCGCGGCATTCCCACTCCTCGCGAGCACGCCCCGAAGCGACTTCCGGCGATAGTGGCAGAGTACTCAACGGAAATTACTATGCTAGCGCTCATACTCCAGCTCCAAGTCTACTTACGGCGTGTTCTTTGCCGTCGCGAGGGAGACGTAGCCGACACCCAGGCAAATGCTGGGTGCGGCGGCGGCGGCGGCGGTGGTTGCGAATATCATGCTACTGCCTCTGTTCGCGTTTGTCCTGGTAGCCGGGTTTCTACTATAAGCGAGGGGCTTCTTACGAGACCGATTTGGTCAGTTCTATGGCTCGTAACTTATAGCCTAATGTCTACTATGAATCGGATTTTGAAGAGCCACAGAGAGCTCCTTCGATGATAATCTAACTTAAGGACGAGTTCAACACATCGATTTTCGATGTTGGCTTGCGCACATAATTGTGCACCAGCATACATTGGGGGTTTCTCTTTAAAGATGGGAGTTTGATGGATAATGAAGACATCTATAATAGCCCTGCACGGAAGAAGGGCACAGGGGGGTCTGGCAAGAGATACAAAACGTCGGGATTCATGTGATGAAGGATTGCATTCTAAACTACTACTATTATCATGTACCTAACCTAGGTACCTACCTAATGTATGTAAAGGGGTCACATCACATGAAGTAGCTTCTATTGCCAGCCTCTCGGTCGGTGAATTAAGATAATACAATGAAGTACGTCGAGTATTTAAGACTACCTAACTGTAACAATAACGTTACATTCCCCGTGAAACTAATATGTCCCCGCGTCCAACCAGACGTCGCAGGCTTACCCTGACTATTCGGGCAGGTGTTTATCTTAACCGTCCCTCGGTGCGCGCGGATCGACAAATATAGATCGGTACCGCCGATCTTGCATTAGCAGGCTGCTCATATATATGTAAACACCTGAACCCCTGGATCAGATGAGCTTGGCCAAGAAGCTTAAATGAGCCTCTTGTTCTTGTTCCTCTTTTTCTCCCTAACCCTATTCATTCTTTACTCGTAGGAAGAATACAGGTAGCGCGATGAAGTTCTCTAGTTTCGCAAGTATCATCGCCGCGAGCGTTCTCGGCACCCCCGTCGCTGCCGCTCCTACAGCGGCTTCAGCAGGGTCTGCAGGGTGTGGGAAATCACATGTACTCCCCGGCGTAACGAAATACAATAGTCTTACTAGCAGCGGTCGTGGGCGAAATTACTTCATCCACACGCCGGGGAACTATAGCGAGACGACGCCGTATCCGGTCGTGGTCGGCTTCCACGGCTCAAGCAGTATTGGGTTGTTCTTCGAGGTGGACACCGGCTTGAGTTCCGACAAGTTCAGCGCCAATGTATGAAGTTTCTACATCCTCCCGTTCTTGTAGAATATGGTTACTTACAGAAGAACTGCTTAGAAAATTATGGTCTATCCGAATGGTGTCGGCGTAAGTCACTAACATGCCATCCCCAAATGAACTGCCGTATCTAACACTACCCTAGGGCGCCTGGGCTGGCGCAAACTACTCTGAGGCCTCGGTCGCAGAGGACTTGCAATTTGTCTCGGATCTGCTAGACGATGTACGGGGGTCATACTGCGTAGATGACAGTCGGATCTACGCTACAGGGTAAAGTCTCCTTTCGCATCTAACGATCCTGTATTTCTTAACGCGGGCATTAACAAAAATCAGCATGTCCATCGGTGGCGGCTTCGTCAACACCATCGCATGTAATGACGTAGGAGACCAGTTCGCAGCCTTCGCGCCGGCTTCGGGATCGTACTACACAGACAACGACGCGGCGCACGAGGACTGCGAGCCGGCGCGGAGCCCACTGCCTCTGCTCGAGGTCCACGGAGGTGCTGACGGTAGCGTGCACTACGACGGCGGAGACGGCGAGGGCGGCGAGGAGCCGAGTATTTCAGACTGGCTAGGATGGTGGGCACAGCGAAACGGGTGCGACGACAGCGCGAAGCAGGTCGAGGATAGTTTTGATGGCGACGTACACTATACTACCTGGAATTGCGGTAGCGAGGAGGGCGCGCTGCAGCATTGGAAAGTCGATGATATGGGTACGTTTAACCTAGTTTCTTCTCCCTCTTTTGCATATAGTTACCTATGTGACATCTGTACACGGGAGTTATTCGCTTACATTCTGATACTCCTGCAGGGCACTGCTGGGCATCGACCGAGATCAACTTCTCGCAGGTGGCGGCGGGACAGGGACCGACGCATATACAGGCCTCGCAGATAATCATGGAGTTCTTCGATAAGTTTACCAAGCCGTGAAGAGAGTAGATTAGGTATGCTCGTGTAGTAGTTTCGGGGGGTAGAGTAATATTCGTACCTATATATATAGGGTTGTTGGCTGTATACTATTAGCTGTAAATATCGTTTTCGTGTACATAACAAATGGTTTCTCAAATGTTGAGCACCTACCTTTATTTACGAGTTCGGGTATATCAAATCAACGAAGAAACACAGCCCTTCCATTCCCACTACCCCTAACCGGCACAGTCATACCGGCAACGTCCACGCTCTCCGGCTCGTCTTCGCGAGGTTTCATATCAGGCCAATCCCTCCATATCTCGGCTTCTTCTGCCTCTCTGTAGCGTCCACGCGCCATCTGCACCACGCGGATTGCCTGCGCTAAGCTGCCCACTTCAAAGACCACAAACCGCGGCTGGAGTACCTTTGCAACATTCAGGATCCTAGCGTAAAACATATCTTCGGGTAGGACAGTCCCATATGACGAAATTCCTGCTGGCAGCTCAGGGACCAAAGCGAGACGGGGTTCGTGGTCGCGCACCGAGCGTTCCGTGTCGCGGTCGAAACCCTCTTGCGATATATACGGCGGGTTGGAGACGAGTATATCTACGGTGCCTCTCTCCAACGCTGATTGTTTAAATCGGCGATTATCAATAAGATCCGCTTGCTTGAGGATCGGCGCGAGCCAGTCCGTAGAGAAGATATTCGCCCCCTTGAACGAGACGGCGTTGGCATTTTGTTGTCTAAGCAAGCCGCGCTCTATATTATACGCCAGGTTCTCCTTCGCCAGCGAGACGGCCCTAGGCTCAATATCAAGCCCCTGGACATGCATATTTGGAAACTTCCGGCTTAAGAGAGAGCATAGTAGTAGCGCAATGCAACCAGATCCGGTACACAGATCGAGGATCCTCAGATTCGCAATTATATCATTCTCCTTCTTAGTTTTATTCGCTCTCCAGGTCTTACGCACAATATCCGCGAGATGCGTAGTCCAAGCCTCCGTCTCGGGGCGCGGGATCAACACCCCGGGACGGCACTTGATCTCGAGCTGGCCGAAGGGCTGGGTCCCCAGGATATACTGCAGCGGATACCCGCGGCCCCTGAGGCGGCACAGACGGTTTAGCAGCGCATTTTTGCTCTTCTCGTCGTTGCCATTTGCCTCTGAGATGCCCTGAAATTGTGGCGCGAGGGTGGAAGACCACACGTGCTCGCGGATCCAGCGCAGCTCGTTGCGCGCCGAGTCCATGTTTTTACAAGTGGGGAGTAGAGCGGTGAGGAGCGCCTTGTTGGTGTGTAAGCGCTGGATAGCTGGGGGTGAGAGGCATGGCATTTGTATTATAGGGGAGAAAGTATAAAATATGCGTCAGGCTTGGCCGTGGTGTGGTGTGGTATAGAGGTAGGTACCTGTTAACCTAGTGGTTAGGTTAGGTTGTTTGACGGTTTCTCTGCCTGTAGAAATTAACTGTACGGTCCCGCTTTTAATAGAATCAAGCACGTCTATTGGTTAACGATTAATATGTATTGTATGTACGTATACGCCGGCATTAGTGCTCCTTATTCTAGTACTCCTTATTCTTAATAGGGGTTCCATTATTAATCCCTCCTCCCCTTCCAATCCCCCCACACAAACCCCAACCCCAACCGCCGACGCCTATCCCTACACATCGCGATCCAAAACGTCGCCACCACCAACATCTCCATAGCCCCCACCGCCAGGACCACCCTCCCCGCCTCGCCTCGCCCCCCAAACAACATCAGCAGCACAATCGCCGGCGTCCAAGCCGCCGCGTTCAGGTACGCGAGGCTGAACAGCAGGACCATGAAACGGCCCGCCTGGTACACCTGGAGCCGCGCGGGGCCGGGCGAGAACGCGCCGTAGCGGTCGGGAATGCGGAATGTCTGCGATTGGATCCGGTAGCACTCGACGGCGACGGCGAGGCGCACCGGGTTGAGTTGGTTGTGGATGACGTCGGCTTGGAAGAGCGCTAGGGAGAGCGTGTTGGTGATTTTGAGCGCGGGTTGTCGAGGCATTGTGGCGATGGTGACGGTGTATGTTTAGGTAGATGTCACTTCGAAATTTGCGGTACTATTAGAGTATTAGACTAACTCTATATTCTTTTGTCTTGGTGTATGGAATGTAGCGCTCAAGTCGTATCTAGGTAACCTAGACTTTTAATGAAATATAGAAGGAATTTTGGTTAGGGGAAAGAAAATGCCGATATGTATAACAGCGAGCCTTTTATAGTCATACTATGTGCGCACGCACGGTTTCTGAACACTGCTATAAAATAGGTTGATGAAGTATAGTATAGATTAAGCATAGCGAAATCATGATGTGAAAGTGTATCGTAGTGGCCGCCTACCTGGAAAATAATGGAAAGCAGCTCATCTACGGCGCATTGCCTATACGAAGCCTTAAAGTTCCTAACCTAGACCTTAGCTATGACCTTGGTTATCATGTAGAGGTCCATTGGTCGGAAGTGTTCCATATGTTACTCCTTTCTGTTATATACATTTATCTATCTTAGTTATACATGCCTAGCCAAGCATTGAGCTGGGTATCTAATCAAACATGTACTCATTTACCACTTTTGTCTACACCTTTTTCTTTGGAATCACATAATTGACGACCGCGCCGCCTCGGACGGGGAACACCTTGCTCGCCTTCCTGATGTCGAAATCGCCAACCAGTTTAGCCTGCGCCTCCGGCGACTTGAGAATCTCCTCTGTAACCCAGTCGCGGAATTCATTACCACCATCTGCAATCTCTGCTGGTTTCGTTGGTATATCCACCACACACCGTACCCTACCGTTTACCTGGACGGCGCAAGAAACGTGGCTTCGTCCTAGAAGCTGTATTGATCCGTCTTGGGCGGGCCAGATACGCTCGCCCTTGGCGAATATGCTTCGGCTATTGGGCGCAAGGATGCTCCAGCACTCCTCAGCAAATGCGGGCGTGATAGGCGCCATCATCTGTATAAGCCGTCGTGTAGCTTCGCGCTTGATCATATCTGAAGCTATCTGATTTTCGACTAGTATATTTGTGAGGCCCATCAGGCTTGATACTGTGGTATTTAAGGGATAGACTTTCTCTAGCGCGTTGGTAACGGACGCGATAGTGTTCTGCGTCGTACGCCACACTTCCACATCAGCAGCCCATTGCGCTGATTCCTTTTCGTTCATCTTTTGTATTTCATCCATAGAGCGGCTGAAATAAGCTTTCCCATTGAAGTCAGTGCTGGGCATTGGCTCAAACTCTCTTGACTCTCGAACATCTTGGACAAAGTCATATACTCGACGCAACCAGCGCGTGACACCAGAAATCTTATCTTCGTCCCAGTTCAAAACCTCTCCGACGGGTGCTTGGAAGAGGATGTGAGCTCTTGTAGCATCAGACCCATATTTGGAAATAAACGAAGTTGGGTCTACGCCGTTATGTTTAGACTTAGACATCTTCTCGAAGGATACTGTTGCGGTCTTTCCTGATGCCACTACTTTAGGCTGAGAAGGATTTGACAAGTCTACTTCGTCCGGCTTTAAGAAGCGTCCGCTGTCAGGGTCCGTGTACGTCTTGCCATGTACCATGCCTTGGGTAATGAGTCGTTTAAAAGGTTCCCCTGAGAAGCCTAGTGGCGAACTAAAATGCTCATCTTCTTTACTATTGACACCCATTTCGGGATACAAAATGCTCGTAACCGCCTTATACACAAATCTAGCGTAGAGGAGGTGGAGAATTGCATGTTCGACTCCGCCAATGTAGATATCTACAGGAAGGTGGCTTTTTGCCGCGGCTTCAGACACTGGGACCTCTGAATTTTTGGGGTCTGCAAACCTCATGTAGTACCAGCTAGAATCCACAAACGTGTCCATCGTGTCGGTATCTCGCTTGGCTGGGCCGTGACACTTTGGGCACGAGGTGTTAACCCAATCGGCGGCGGACTCCAGAGGGTTGCCGGGACGACCACTTTCCCAGTGATGATCAACTTTGGGAAGGGTGACTGGAAGTTGATCTTCGGGGACAGGCTGCGGGCCGCATGTGTCGCAGTGGATGAAAGGGATTGGAGTCCCCCAATATCTCTGCCTGCTAATCAGCCAGTCCCTAATTTTCCATTTCGTGTTACTTTCTGCGAGGTTGGATGCAGCCTTGATCTGAGAGACGATATCCTTCGCTGCAGCGCCAGAGGGCGTTGCGCAGTATGAACCAGTAACAGGGGTCAAGAATCCTGCCTCTAAGTAAGGCCCGTCCTTGAGTGTAGAGATAGATCCATCTATGTCGGGCGAGACAGCATATTTAAGGGGCTCTTCAGGGCGATGCCTTCTCCAAAATGCAAAATCTCTTGCGTCGTGGGCTGGGACTCCCATAATTGCTCCGGTTTCATAATCTCCTCTGACGTAAGAAGCAACATATACTGGAAGAGGTTTGAGATTTTCTTTTGGAACGTCTTTGAGGGAGGAAAGAGGGCTTATTCCATTTAGGTGTGGTATCTGGTAACCTTCTGTGGTATCAGGGGGAAGATCCTTTACGCGCTCTATAAACTCTCGAAGTTCTGGATCATCTTGTGCTAGCCTTTGTACGACAGGTGAATGTGGGGAGAGAGCAAGAAACTGGGCTGCGAATATAGTTTCCGGTCTTGTTGTGTATATCTTTACCTTGTGAGACTCGGTTCTTCCGTCCTCGGTATTGGCGAGGAACTCGTAGTAAGCACCCTCTGTGCGTCCTAGCCAATTTTTCTGCATAGTCAAGACTCTGTCGGGCCAAGCATCATCCTCGCCAAGCTTCTTGAGGTCCCGCAGCAACGATTCCTTGAATTGGGTGATATGGAAAAACCATTGCTCAAGTTCGCGCTGCTCGATCTTTGCGCCTGATCTCCATGACCGACCGTCCGAGTCGACCTGTTCGTTGGCTAACACAGTCTTATCGACAGGATCCCAGTTTACAGTCGCTTTCCGCTGGCTCACAAAGCCGTGCTTATGAAGAAGAAGGAATATTTTCTGTGTGTGCTTGTAGAATTCCGGGTCACATGTTGCAAATTCCTACGTGGTTATTAATATTCGGCGCGCTGATATTATCATGATATATCTGAACGAACCCGTGACCAATCGAAGCTCGCATTCATCAACTCGAGCTGCTCTTTCATGCGAGCAATGTTGTCCCTCGTCCAGACACTGGGGTCAATGCCGCGTTCAATTGCTGCATTTTCAGCAGGTAACCCGAAGGCATCCCAGCCCATTGGAAGAAGAACATCACGGCCTTGTAACATATAGAATCGTGCTACTACATCGGCTATGGTGTAAACACGAAGATGGCCGAGATGTAAGTTGCCGGAGGGATACGGGAACATGGAAAGTATGTACATATGGTTGTTGGTGAACTGGGAATTATCACGCTTTAAAGCAGTAGCACCGCCTGTTTCACTACGAAACCGGCCGCCCTCTTCCAGGCGCTCGCCGTGCTTCGAAGCTTGGCGCCATTTCCTGTCTAAAGCAGGCAAGTCGAGCTGTGCTGTAGCATACGTCCGACGAAGAATGCATGTTCGAGAACTTGAAGACCATACGGTTTTAAGCTTCAAGTACGGTCTCGACTGACCTGCAATATTTCTTACAACGGAATACATCGGGTAGCTCGCATGGCCGCTGTCCTGCAAGAACGAGCCTGTGGCCGAATGTAATAATATAATGAATTTTGTGAGCTTGACGAATAGCTTCAAGCTTTCCAATGTTATTCAAACCGATCCGAGGTTGTTATCTTATCAACGCGCCTCGTAATTAGCAACCTTTCCTTTGTTATGTACATAGTTGTGCATGTATATGCATATTATCCACCTTGTAAGACCAATGCATTTTATAGAACTATCCGATTATTCGAAATCTTTACGTTAAAATAAAACAGAGACACCACGAATTGTAAAGAGCTTAATAGGCTATAGATAAAAATGAGCTTGGCTTTAATCCCGTTGGCAAATCTAGGCCAGTTCTGTTCAACATATACTGGTCACTTGAGACATCTAGCGAAGTTATCATAGCTCAATCACCTAGGTTAGGAACAATGTAGTAGTAAGAGTAAGTTTTAATAATTCTGTAGATTAACTATCAAGTAACAAAACTAAAGTCTTGCAAATGTAAACATCAAAGGACTACTGACTGTAAATATTTAGGAGGTAACTAACTTAATTAGACGACTTCTTCCAGGTCGGAACTGTCATCTATATGAAGTTGAGATATTTCAAGATCACGCATCTCATCATCGCTCAATTCAAATTCGTCATCACTCCAAAAGGGGTCCAGGGGGTCCAGAGGGTCGACATCCTCCACTTCAAAGTCTTCTTCATCCGAAGTATCGGGAAATTCGTTAAACAACTGTTGAAGATCTTGCAGAACTGCATGTAGATCATGAAAAACCATCTCCGAAACCCGCGCAAGCTTGTAGTTGTCTTCAGAGTCCCAGTCAGGGTAGAGCTCTTCAAACCTCACGAGGTGCGAAGAAATTGCCGAGTTTCTAGTCCAGGCGCGACCAAGTTTCTTGATCCAACCTTTTGCGGTTACGCGGCCTAAGGGGATGCTTTGGAGCCGTCTATCAGCAGTCTCCGAATCGACATTGTTGTTGGGAGGAGAAGTACCTTCCAAGTCTAACAGGCGGAGAAGATTCACCATCTGATGGAGGATCACTCCACGAATCTCATTAGCCTCTTCTGATTGTTCTGAAAATTTGACTTCGCGGCCCACGAGAGAGCTGACAAGTGCTGTTAACCCAGCATCGATATCAGGGGCATCTGTATAGAGGATGGTGACAAAAGAGCTGCCCGAAGAGCGACTGGCGGATAAGTCGCCAGAGTGGCTCTCAGTATCGCTGTTACGAGACATATTCGAGACTGGTTATAATAGCTTGGTATTTCTTTATTATATGTATTTTCTGAGATTGTTGTCTGAGGTTGTGATTAGTCTCATTTGAATGCATCTTGAAGGGCGTATATATACTGGTAAGTATTCAATGGCAATGTAAACGTGCTCGTTGAACATTCAACGATGACAATGAGATGATTTAGCTACGACGGTTTTGTAAGGGCGAACAATATTATTTACCCCCTATCTTTAAACAAAGACAACGTTAGGGTGTTTGTTTGGCGATAGGGGCTTGGGTATATGCACGTAAACAGTAAACCTATATGTACCTATCGTAAGTCAATATTACATAGGTAATCACTGGGTAAGGTAACCGTCATGCGCCAAGGATTATGTACGGTACTTGAATTATTACTCTGTCCCGCACAGACCGCCCTATCATTGCTTAACTTGAATAAGGGGAAGGAGCTGTGGGGGGACTCGTGGAAGATCAGAAACAACCATCGCAATCTCATTGTTCCATCTTCTGTATTTGGTTTATTCAACCCTTTCAGCCTTTTCCTCCTTCTAGAGTCCTACATAACTTGTCCAGTCTATTGTCCTGGCTTGGGTTTTTAAAGATAATCATACGAACTGTTTCAATATTGGCATTGCATCTTCTTAATTCCAAATCTTAATACGTTAACTATTCGGATATTCTTGGCTATTCGAGGGTCTGATATCACAAGCTCTTGACGCCACGAATTTCTTCCGTACGTGCGCGACCACTTATAACCGACCATGATTTCTCTTCGACGACATAGAAAATAGACAATAGCCGAACTCACTATCTTCTATCGGTACCGATATAGCCTCAGCTAGCTGCGATGCCAGCTCAATATTCGTCCGCCCTTCACCCAGGCGCTCGAGATTCCCTCGAACTAGCCTCGTTAGCATCGTCCAGTCGCGGTCCCGATACCTACTCGGACACAGACTCTAGAGCATCGCTATCCTCCTCGCGGAAACTCTCGCTCGAGCAAGACGACCCGTTAGACTACAATAATTCCGCGAGCCATTCCGATTTAAGATCCGGTCATGGAAGAACGTACTCGGTCAACTCCAACTTCGACTACGCTGCGAATCTCTTCCCGCTCTCCTCGTCTACCGCTCCTGGTTATGCTCCCTTAGGCGCGCCTACGTCAGCCGCCCAGCGCCATGGTGGGCTGGGTGGACCCTCGCTAGAAAAACACAAAACGCTGACGTATTTGAACGGATTGGGTTTAATTGTAGGGTTAGTAATTGGGTCGGGGATCTTTTCGTCCCCTAGCCAAGTCAACGTAAATGTTGGCTCGCCTGGCGCATCGCTGGTTGTGTGGGTGATATCGGGCGTCCTCGCCTGGACGGGCGCGGCGAGTTATGCGGAATTGGGGGGCGCCATTCCTCTCAACGGTGGCGCGCAAGCTTATTTATCCAAGATCATGGGTGAATTGGCTGGTTTTCTCTTCACATGGGTAGCAGTCCTCGTTCTCAAGCCCGGCAGTGCCGCTATAATCGCAATTATCATGGGCGAATACCTTGTGCGCGCGGTGATCGGGGCAGAAGCAGAAACAGTAAACCCCTGGATCAACAAGAGTGTTGGCCTTGTCGGATTGTTCGCCGTGACATTCTTGAATTGCATATCGACTAGGCTAGGAACCCGCGTAAACGACACGCTTATGTTCCTAAAATTCATTGCTTTAATAGGCGTTACTATCTGTGGGATCGTGGTGGCCCTTACTGGGTTTTCCTCTTCTGGCAAAGCTAACGTGGATTGGAAGAATCATGCGTGGTTTGAAGGTACGAGCACGGACGCGACCCATTGGGCTGTTGCTTTGTATGCTGGACTTTGGGCTTATGACGGTTGGGATAATGTGAGTTTTCACCTCGGAGGTGAGAAGAGTCCTGGCAGTTCAGTATAGCTAACCATCGCAACATAGACGAACTATGTAGTTGGCGAGTTTCGAAACCCCTCGAGGGATCTTCCGCGTGTAATTCACACGGCGATGCCTCTTATTATTATTTGCTATCTCCTCGCAAACTTTTCATATTTCCTTGTCTTGCCCCTAGATGCCCTCAACTCTACTAATACTGTTGCCGTTATGTTCGGCAACAAAGTATTTGGCCCCGTCGGCGCGCTTATTTTTGCACTGATTGTTAGCGCCTCTTGCTTCGGCGCTCTCAACTCATCTACGTTTACCAGCAGCCGGCTTGTTTATGCCGCTGCTAAGGAGGGTTATGTCCCGGCTATCATTAGCCGTGTGGGTATTGGTTCCCGGGAGCCTGGTATGGCAACTACGAGGACAAGGAATTGGTTTTCTAAACGACTACACAATATGATCGGCGACGAAGAAACGGGGCTTTTCTTTACGCCGTTGTACGCATTAGCGTTGAACGGTACTTTAACGGCTATATATGTGATCGTTGGTGAATTTGGGGAACTGGTTACGTTTTATGGGGTGGCGGGATATTCGTTCTATTTCCTCACCGTTCTGGGATTGATCATCTTAAGAGTGAAGGAGCCGCAGCTGGAGCGGCCATACAAAACGTGGATCACGACTCCCATAATATTCTGCTGTGTAAGCCTGTTCTTACTCAGCCGCGCGATATTTGCTCAGCCGTTGAAGACGCTCATCGTCGTTACATTTGTCCTATCTGGGATTCCGGTGTTTTTTTGGAGGATACAGGGTCGGGACCAAGTCGCCAAGCGGGAGACTAGCTCCGGCAACGCAGCGACGGGATGGAAGTTTTGGAAACGATGGCGGAAATGAGCTACGACTAAACATTGACATCCTAACTACGAAAGGGGGGTGTTTTTATAAAAGTTTCAGCAATTGGACATAGCGAGCATTCTGAATGAGCATCAGGGTCACTGGAGTATGTAGATTCTAGTTGGTGGCATCAGTAAATAGCGTATATTACAGTTACATACATTACAGTGTAATATGAATGAGTCAATAAAAATAATGACACAAGCAGCTAACCTAGGTTACTTTAGTGAACTATGAAGAACAATCTAGTTTGGATTTTAATCCAGAGCTATATTTTATTCCAAGTCCGTATAACAGGCGATGAAAGGCATGAAGATCAGGCATCAACTAAGCTATAATGCTCCTGTGAATGCTCCGTCTGATTAGCAACTATAACCAACGCCTCCCGCATCGCTGCTATTACTGTACTGCTCGCTCGAAGTTCCGGCTCCTTGTCATGCTTGGGCGGGCTGGTTCCATGGCCGCTATGCTACTGTGCCTTTGCCTTTGACCTTCATGTGCAATTGGACAAGCTCATCGTTATCATCTGGCTCCTGTTCTGTCTTATTATTTTCCTGTGTCTTAATAGTGGTTGGCACTCAGACAGTCATCTGAGCTCTTTCTTGCATCTGTTGTCGTTTGCCTAATGCTTTCTGGAGAATAGGTTTAATTTCCATTTCTGGATCTGCATCCTTGAATCTTCTTCCATGTGATCATCTTCGTGGTCATTATCGTTTTCGTGGTTCGACATTAGTGTCCCGGGTAGGATTTTCCCAGCAAATTGATGATGTTGTGTGGATGTAGATGCCCTATCTAGTTATTTGACATGGGTACCTCTGTGTCCCAGTGACACAGTAGGATGGGGTCTGTCAATTCTCTTTGGAGGATCTCAAAGGCTTCGAGTTCATTGGGTGTGGGAGTAAACGGTGTCTTCGCCATATACTTTCTCCTTGCATTCGATGTCGTGGGGATCTTTTCTTCTCTGGGTAGTTTTGGTATTTAAACTCAAATAGTGGATAATTTAGAATATACTGTAAATAATAACTTCACCGTAATCTGCAATTGTCTCATTGCGGAGAGAGCGATTAGAGTGCCATCGACCGGCCCGTTATGATGCCTCTCATCGTCTGCGGCTTGACCACAGCCCTCAAAAGGCTAGGGCCAGCCTTCGCAGATCAATCCGGCATTGTCATGTAGTTTCATAGTTATGCCGAGTCTCATTGTATCGTCTGTCAAAGTATGGTCTTGTTTTTAACCAAGTTAATACCTTGCTAGTTGAAGGTATGAACCACGGACGATAGATCTAGACGTGCTTTTTATTATCGAAGTAAATATTCTTATTGTCGTCGCTCGAGGTTGAGGACGTCCCGGGCTGAGCAACATCAAGTCCGTTCATCGTGATTAGCTACTGGGCAAGCACCGTCACCACCCTGTCTTCGCCCAAAGACTTTTGGATTTATCTTTTGGGGAGTCGCTCTAGATAAATCGTTAATATCAGATTGAGTCATGTTGTTCTCGTCTCCAATCTTCAGCCGCTTGCTTGATAGTATGAATTTCTGAATCGCTGAGTGGCACGACGTTTCGATGAGGATTTATTAGACATAGGACCAACGTTACTGCCACTAGGAGTGCTTCTAAGTTATCTTGTAGTTTGTTACCACCATCGTTATCCTGCGGTTGTGTTGGTAGTAGCCGCAGTTTATGTCTTTGATTGCGCTTTTGACAGTTACCAAGGCAGTGCGCCTTAGTCTCATTTCGCCTTTTGGACTTGCTCAATCCAGAATTTGGTGTTGACGTTTGTCGCTTATAAATTAGAGGTTTAGGAGATGTGTTCCCCAAAATCATTCATGAGCCACCTTCTGTGTTGGGATTTCGAACTCAAGCATCTTGCACACGGGTGGCGACAGCTTTGTTGTGGCGTTGTATCAAGTGACAGAACTTTCCGCCAATAACTTTTGGAGAAGGTTGCCCATGCGATCGAAGGGGCTGGCGTGATGAATTTGGAAATGACGAAGGAATCCTTGACAACTACATGTTGTAGGTTTGTTGTTGGGTTACGACAAGACTTTGTTGCTATTATGTGGTTGATGTCTGACGATATCTTTGGTTCAACAAGACTTTTGTGGCGAAGACTCGATAGGTACCAGGTAGTTACTGGTAGGAGTTCAGTTTGCAGGTGATATGCTTAGGAAGGACCATAAAGCGTAACGGTTGGTATCACAGTTTTATGTCTTGATCCTCTGTAACTATGCAGTTTTGCTTAACTAGAGTAGTAATTTATTAATCAAATTTTTGAAACGTCAAGAACGGGTTGAATGTTGGTTATTTAATTGAAGTTGATGAGAACATACCTAAGGGTAGAAAATCATTTTTAGTAGGGGTTGTAATTGTGAGCGTAAAGATTGCAGAGTCGAAGATCTGGGGCATATATTTCAAAAGTACATATGACTCAATGCCCATTATATGTACCTAGGTAGTTACTTTACTCGTACCTTCCATGGAGAAGCAGTTATTCCTTAATTCCGTGCAGGAGCCTATAGTTGTATCTGAGGCAGCTGCCATTTAGAACAAGTTGGAATAGGCGTTGCTTGGAAACCTACGGGAAGGAGTATCCTCTGGTAAAGGCTCTATTTTGAGTTAGGTACCCATTTCGGTATCTACATGTATGAAGTGGTGTATGAAGAAGTTGTGACAGTCCGTATTAGATTTGACAGTATTGAATCTTTAAGGCTATCAAATGATTATTGTCATTTTTACTTGGTATGCTATATGTAGTTAACTGAATGGGACAAGACACGCTGCCTCGTATCAGGACTACGATTATATTCTTATGCACCTGCTATGATAACCAGCAACAGACAACTCCAGGCTTATTCCACCGTGGCAAACCTCAGTTACGTCCACAAAACTCCAATATGCTGTAATATATCCCGCGTTGCATTAGTCTCGTCTATATTGACGTCTATACTTAATTTTCACACACGCGCGGCTCATGAGTGTAGCGAAAGCTGGTATTTCGCATTATACCTTACATTGCTTATTCTTTCCCCTAGGCATGCAACCACGCATTGCTTGATGAACTTCTGCGGTCTCGTCCCCTCTCATACAGCCACTTGCTGCTCAACCCAACCGTACTTCTCTTCCCATTTGCGGGGCTGGGGCTAGGGCTATCAGGGACTCCGCCGTAGAACGAAGCGAATCCTGTGCTGGCGCCCATAGGACTAGGCGATCCTAGGGAGCTTATCGAAGAGCGCCGCGCGCCGTTCATAGCTTTCTGCAGTAGGGGGCTCTGTGGAGACGTTAATCCGGCAAGACTGCCATTTCCATTCAGCCCATTAGAACTGCCAAAGTTGGAGGCAGAGCTGCGAGGGGAGCTGGAGAAGCTGCGCTTGCTACCCGCAGATCCGGAGATTGAAGGGGTTCGGGAGTAGCGGGGCGGCGTGCTATATGCGGAGCCTGGCGTAGGCGGCGCGGAGGTCAGTGGCAGGCCTAGCAGTTTTCGCTGGCCGGGGGTTAGGGGGATATCGGATAGATCATCTTGGGGCCTGAGCAGAGGCAGGAGATTCGTGCCGATGTTAAAGAGGGGTATGGCAAGAACTGTCCAGTACGCGTATCGCGAATAGTTCCAGACACTGCGCAAGTTAGTGTCGTTGAGCTAGTTAGGTTAGGATATGGAAGCGTACGCGTAGGGGAATGATTTCTTAGATGGCAATACTCGCGCCAGAAGAGAATGCAGAAAGATCAATGCTATGAGCACGACGATATTAACGGCGATGCGCTTGACGTTTCCGTCGGTGAATGTAGTAGCCTCCTGTCGCCGGGTAATTTCTTGTATGCGCGGATGTCGCCATGTGCCTGGGCTGTCCGTGACTGGTGGCGTAGAAGGTGTTGGTTTCTTGGGGGTGACGATCGTCCTTGCCATTGATAGAGACATTATTGTTATGGCTGGTCTGGTGTCTCGAAGCCGAGAGTACAGATAAATTAACTAAACGTCGTGTCGAGAATACGTGGGCAGGCTGCCGTCTTGAAACAATACTGATGGTACGACCTGGTTCTGCAGAAGATAAAGGAGAAAGGACCTTTGAATCGGGGACGGAGTCAATTGAATGTCATTTATCTGGTGCTATTATTACCTGTGCTATGAGTTAGTACCTGAGGTTAGTATAATATGGTGGCGCTGAGAGCGCAGCCCTCGTCGTTGAGCTACGTCTGATGGAATGAATCTGATTTGTTTTCTTTGGGGGGTGATTTTGGTTGTCAAGGCAGTTGCGAAAACAACCCAAATCTACCTCTGTTACATTTCTTAGTCATCATACTTCGTACTTGCTGCATTTTAATCTTAGTGCCAAGATCCACTTCAGGGGAGCTGTAGCCGCACGAGCCATGACCAAGTACTTTGGTACCTGCCTTAGTATGTAGGTATGTATCGTTTTTAGGCTCGGATGCTCCTTGCGTCACAGGGCTGACAACAAGTTCCCTAAGTTAACAAAGTCCCAAGTCCCAAGTCCCCACCGAAGCATCTCACCTCATCGGGGTACCTCGTTCTTAGACTGCGGACGGATTCATCTAGAAAAGATTCCGACTTTCTTCAAGTCTACCTTCTATTTTTTATGCGACTCCGATCGTTCCGTCCTTTGATGGCGTAGCCAAAGTTGCAATCTAGTTAACTATCTATCCTTCTGAGGGGAAACCTAGTAAATTGCAACTTGAATTAGCAGTATAAGAGCCGATATCTAACTCTAACCAACATGAGCGCTGGTAGTCTTTTGACCCAGTTCGACGAGGGACTGAGCTCCCTCTTGACCCAGTGGAATGGCTACTCTACGCTAATTGTCACGACCTTGGTGCTACTTCTAACATATTCCATCATGAACCGAGTTGAGCCTGATATCCATCCCATGCTTCTCGCTCGCCAAGCTTCAAGCTCGCCAGTCCGGAATGAGGGAGAATCACCTGTCTACCGAGGCAACTCAGCTCCTCATGGTCTACCTCTCAACACCGGTTTGAATGTTAAAGATCCGGGTGCTTCGAAATGGGCCCAAGGTCGAGATGGAGACCTGAGGGATGTCTGGCGTAGAGCTGTATCCGGCCCATCCGATGAAAGTGGTCCTAAGGCAAGGGGGCGCATCTTGACGGTCCTTGGGAGTGAGAAAGTTATCGAACATGATCTCGGTAAAGCAATCTTCTCAACTTTGGAAATGAATTATGACTAACAGCCTAATCTAGGCGATATCACACGGCAGATCAACTTGGTTGGAAAGCATATCACTTCTCAAGGAGGAAAGAAGGTGGCTATCTATCTTCCTAACTCTGTCGAGTTTATTGCCACTTTGTTCGCCTGCAGCTTCTACAACTTGACTGCTATTCTGTTGCCTTTTGACCAGCCAGAGGATGCGATAATCTCGATGCTCCAGAGGTCTGGCGCGGACACCGTTGTTACCGCGCCCGGTGCTTTCCCGTTCGACAACGTTGTTTCGAGTTATCCGGGTCTTCGCCAGCTCATTTGGGTTGTTGATGAGGGTAACAAGCATCTCGACTGGAATGAGGTTCCTAAGGGTGTTGGTGGTAGCGTCAACGTCTCTACTTGGCAAGATATCCTGAACGACAACCCCGTCACAGCTGGTACTGAACTGCCCCCGGTCGACCCCAAGGCTGAGATCCAGGATGTTGTCGTCTTCTGGCAGTCTAAGTCGGACACCCTTGAAGAGATGGTCCGATTCACTCAGGGAAACCTTGTCTCCGCAATCTCGGCCCAGCTCACGGCAATCCCGCAAAAGGAACGCTTCTCGCCAGCCGATCTCTTCCTGTCTTCCGCCTCTCTATCGGCGTCCTTCCCTCTAGTCCTAACACTCGCAGCTCTCTACTCTAACGCTTCTGTGGCTTTCAACTCCGTTGCCGGTACTACGTCTGACCTGATCCTAGCCACCACTGGTATCGCGCCCACCATCGTCGTTGCTACTCCTCAAACTCTCAAGAAGACTCACGAAGAGACTAAGAGCAAAGTTGACGCCTCGTTCCTTACACGTGCCTCACACTGGGTGCAGACGCGCAGCCTCATCCAAGATGGTGTTATGCCCGCAGCCTCCCTCCTCGCCTCGTACAACGACTCCCTGCACCCCCAGATCGGCTCTTCCCCAACCCCAACTCCTAAACCCGGCAAACTCCGCCTCTTGTACGTCGCAGACCCTGCAGGCACCGACGCCCCTCGACTTTCGCAGCAGACACTATCGGACCTACGCGTGTTCACTGGTGCCCGCGTCATCTATGCCCTTTCTGCTCCTCGAGTTGCAGGTGCTGTCTCTCAAACTCAGTTCAACGACTACCGCGTGTTGGGCGATGGAAATAGCGTTCATTTTGGACCCCCCCTAAGCGCCATCGAGGTTCTATTCAGAGATACGGAAAGCCACAAGATTACCGACGAGAGCTACGCCGGCGAGATCGTGGCCCGTGGTCCTGCAGTTGCGGGTGGTGAAGCGCCGCTGGGTGTTGTCGGTACTGTTAGGATCGATAATACGATCGCTTACTTGTAGGCTTGGTGAGAGTGTTGTAAGGATTGCTATGATAGGAAGTTGGATGATGATGAGGATGTGATAAGATTTCTTTTTTCTTTTTCCTGCGGCTAGTTATTCTTATATCAGGCGGATGGGACGGAATGTCCCTTTGTTTATTGTGATTCAAGTAGATAGGAAACTGCTAACGCCGTTGATATATCTCTATGCCATGCCTTAACTGAATTTTATGTATTCTCTGTTAGTTTTTACAACGTGTCCCCTCGTGGCATAAATATTATAAACCCAATACCATAGATGAGACGTAGCATGTAATTTTTTTACTCTTTATTCAACATCCTCGTCGTTCGTAATTACTACCATGGCATGCTCGTACGTAAATTGCATCTCAGAATCAGAATCATAACCACGTATGTCGATACCCTGTTGTCGAGCACAACCTGAACGCCGAGCCAAATGAAGCAGCTTCCATCATGAATCACACAGGCCGTATTTAACCACTTCATCAAATCTACCCTAAGCGCCGTTCCGGTATACCTGCGCGCCTTGATTGCGGAACATAATCGTATCCCGTCTCTGCAGTATCATAAGTGCGCGGTTCAAACTCTGCTCGCTGAACCCCTTCCCTTCAACCATCTCGCGGCGCAGGGTAGCCAGGCTGGTGCTCCACCCGATAGGCAAGCGTCGGCGAAGCTCCTGCTCGAGACGCGAGACCTCCTCGTTCAGCTCGCGGCCGCCTTGGTTCGCGGTCCCTTGTGTGACGGCGTCCATCGTCGAGCACAGGAATAATCGGATGGCTTCGTCGACGTGCTGCTCGGTGGCCATGGGGGAAAGAGTAAGTTTCGCGAGAGCCTCTGTGATACGCACGATAGCTTCGAGTTGTCGCACTGTGATGGGGATGCTGGAGCGCGCGTTGGCTTCGAGTTCGGAGGCGTGGACTTGTTTCCGGATCGAGACGAAGTGTGAGGATAGCTTCTCGGCGGCTTCGGGGGAGAGGCGAGGGGCGCAGCGGCTGGGAGGTGGGTTAGCGTTTGTTGATTATGACGATAGTTAAGAAAAAAGGGGCGACTTACGACTTGCAGTAGCTAAGGTATCGCCGCATTGTCTCGACGGGTACTTCGCTCTCAACTTGCTCTTCAAGGCCACGACCGCCCATGTGGATCCCCATGACGTGCTTTGCAATGCGCTCGTCCTTGTCTCTGTTGTGATCGTCTTTGACGATGAAGATCATGTCGAAACGGGACAGAATGGTTGTCTGGAAGTCGATGTTCTCACCCGGCGTCTTCATGTCGTCGTACCGGCCGAAGATAGGGTTGGCCGCTGCGAGAACTGAGGTTCGTGCATTCAAGATTGTTGTTATGCCTGCCTTGGCAATCGAGATGGTCTGCTGCTCCATGGCTTCGTGGATCGCGACACGGTCTTCGTCTCGCATCTTGTCAAACTCATCGATACATACCACACCACCATCTGCTAACACCATTGCACCGCCTTCGAGATAAAACTCTCGCGTGGAATGGTCTCTCTGCACGGAAGCTGTTAAACCAGCTGCCGAGGAACCTTTACCAGACGTATAGATAGATATGGGAGCAACTTTCTCAACGAATTTCAACAGTTGCGACTTCGCTGTACCAGGGTCACCGAGGAGGAGCACGTTTATGTCGCCTCTCAATTTCATGCCGTCAGGTAAGATCTTTTTGGATCCTCCAAGCAGCAAGCACAATATGGCTTTCTTAATATCTCGGTTACCGTAGATCGAAGGGGCAATACAATCGGCCATAACATCGTAGATATCAGGCCTTCGGCTAAGTTCCATGAATTCCTGCTCATCTTCTTCGGAGAAGATTGAGTGTCCTTTAGCTGTGGCATCCATATCCGTTTGAATACCCACGGCTCTTAAATATGGTGTTCTTATGGCAACGGCGCCGCCGGTAGACGAGTTCTTGGAACCCTTGTTCTGGTAGATAGAGAAAATGCCCATGATCGTGCACCTCGACCCCGGAACGACCCTATTCGTAAGGTATCGGTCTGCGGAGATGAGAACATGCCGTGGAAGCTCTCCTACGGGCACCTGGTCAGGGGCTTCTTGGAGCTTAATAATCTGCTGGTCGACAAACTTGGACTTTTCATGAGTGATAAAGTAAGGGTCCAGAGGACACTTTTCGGATGGGTCGTTGGGAGGTCTCTGGCGACCACAAGTTCGCGGAAGCGTTACACCGGTAAATCCACCTAGGACGGGGATCATCTGCGTGTGTAGACAATTTCGGCATTGGATGTGTAACTCTGTGGCCTTAGAAGACATAACAGAGGCACCGATGACGATGCCAGGTACCCTAACAAGCCTTGCGATAGTATCAGAATCCAGATTCCGGATCGAGACATCTTCTGCGCTGGAGTGGAGGAGTAATTGATGTTCAGGGATGACAGCTTTAGGGTCGTGTGGAAAGATGATTCGGTGTGTGCATTTCTTGAGAGCTCCTTCGAACTATTATATGTTATTAGTTAATCTGGATTACCATCTCGGTACCTAAGTAATATATGACATACGAGAGGAATAATCTCGGCGGGCTCTGTGACTATTCGGTGCGCAAGCTCTTCGTTATACTTGATTAAGTCGGTAATGTTAACATCGCAATAGTACTTCTTTAATAATGCATTTTCTCTTAGTTGGTCTCGGTAGACGAAGATGTTGTCGTGTCTGAATTCGAGGATAAAAGTTACAAGCTGTTCTTGTATTTGCAGCCGGCTATCTTCGTTTGGTCCAGAGTTGGACTGGAAGACGGAAACTGAGTAGACTGATTGGCGA